GGCAACCTGGAGGTGATGGGGCTCATGCTGGGCAAGGTGGACGGGGAAACCATGATCATCATGGACAGCTTCGCTCTACCGGTGGAGGGCACCGAGACTCGCGTCAACGCTCAGGCGGCCGCCTACGAGTACATGGCTGCGTACATTGAAAACGCAAAGCAGGTGAGGGGAAGTGGCAGAGGGTGTTTCTCTCCCTTCACGGTGTGGCTGCGGATCTTATAAGCTAATCGCGCAGAAACGTGTTCTGGGGTTTGCAGGCTTTCCCGCCTGCTCCCCTCCCACAGTGATAAAGTGGCTGTCCTGTTGTCCCGTTTCTTCTCAAACAGGGCTAAGAGAACTGCGTCAGCAGCAAAGAACACCCACCCCTTTAAACATTTTCACATATATATTTCCATGTCTGACAGTAGGTCGTCCAGTACTGCATTCTCCTTTCCTTTATAAATAACTTCCATTGCGCAGGAAGGGGTTTTGTGGCTGCAGCTGGTGGCTTGTGGATGGAACAAGGGGGGAGGGTGTTTCTAAAATAACTGATATAATACATGTTTCTAAAAACCATGCAAAATTAAATACAAAATATGTAGGCGTCAGAGATGCTTACTATTTGTAGATTGGAATATGACACTTATTCTTATCTTCTTGCTTTCTGAAGTCTTACTGCATAGCCATGTTTTCCATAAAAATAAAGACATTTGTGAAGAAAATGCCAATGAAGGAATAAGTAAGTTTCAGTGCAACTTAATTGTTCATATTTACAATTTGGAAATTTAGATCAACTGACTCAGATGTCTGTTCCCCCTCTTCGTCACCCTGTATTCACAGATTCATGTCATGTTAAGCCTCGCTATGCAGTAAAATTCTCACATGCAGAAGGATTACAGAAATATGAGTCTGCTCTGTGGCTGATGTAGAAACCAGCACGGCACATCAGAGCGCCTGCTGACATGCTTCTTCCAATACAGGGCAATCCTGTGCTACGAATAAGTATTGAAATAACTCTAACTCGCCAAGCTCAAATTATTTTGAGGCCCAGTTTACCCTTTGATTTTTCTTTAATCCTCAAAGTATTTTAAACCAGCTACAATTAGAGGGCCCTTCCTTATTCACTGGAGATAACAGAGCGGTATTTCGGTTATTTTGGAGAGTTGTACTTGTATTCACAGCCTTATGTACAGTTAGAGATATTTAAATATATGTGAATTAGGCTGGATCATAACATCAGAAAAGAGTAAACATAATCCAGAAGTAGGTATATGCTGGGACTTTTTAAAATAATTCATCCCTGTTCATGAGAAAATTTAGAAATAACTTATTTAATCTAGTTCCTTTTATCTGGAAACTATTAATGTCATGATACTGTTGTTGCAGAAAAGTGGGTAACTTGAAAAGATGTCTTTACCTAAAGATATATTCATACTGTCCAGTTCTTAGGTAGAAATAATGGGTTTCAAAATAGTAAGTATATAGCATAAAATTAGTATTTTTCGTATACAGTTAGTTCATCTTATGTTTAAGAGAGTCCTGGTTTATGTAGGAGTACTCATATGATAGGAAACGTTTTTTCTAGTTGTTTATATTGTACAGTTTTGTCTATAGTTGGTTTCACAATTCTGAAATTGAACTTGTGTGCAAATATAATAACTCAGCTTTACTGGTCCTCTGGCAGAGTTTGCATGCTGGCTGTTCCACATTTGATTTTGGCAAGCAGTTGTTCCTGGAATAACTCTTTAATATTAGATTGCAAGTTGATATATTCCCCTGCATAAGAACTTTACAGATGCCAACGTTCCAGTTATTTGCTTCTCCGTGGGCAGGATCTGGTGTTAATACAGTCAAAATGTGTTATTTGGCTTTGAAAAATGTTTAGTTTTTTGTTGGTCTTTAGTGTTTTGTTGGTCTCTCCTTCTCTGTTATGGGGGATGTAAAGAAAATACTATTCACCAATTCAAAAGTAAAATAAATCTTCCATTCAGTAGGCAGTTTGTGTGTTCTGTCTCATCTTAACATTTTTCTGATTTAACCTTCCTGACATACTGAGTATTTGGCAAAACCAAGCAGGCAATGCATCCAAACACAAAACTCCCAGTTAAGAACTGGCATATAGGGTCGTACCAAAATTACTCAACTTAGTATGGAGCAGCCAGTAAGCAATTCCTGAGAGAGGATTACAAAATTAGGAGCAATGGGGGTTCATTCTCCTGGGGTTTTTTTGTTTGTTTGTTTTTCTTCCAGTATTTGTAGAGATAGCCAGGTGTATTATTTGGAAACTCCTATTTTGAGTTTTTCTAATCCTAAAAATCTCAAAAATTCATCTTTTGGCTTTCACAGCATGCTCTGGTAATAATTTCTGTCACTTCTTGTCTTTGAAAACATGCCTCTCTGAAGTTATTTTTTAAACCTAGCAATAATCTGTATATATGCCTCTGAGATGTGTTACTGTACTAAATAATGAACATTCATTCTCTACTGACATACCAAACATTATATGAGATTATATATACTGATCTCATATCCACACTAAGAAATTTCTCTTCCATGCGGAAGAGTGCCAGCTTGCTTACCATCTCACCATGTGGAATCTTTTCTGTACTTCAGCTGTCATTAAAGGAGCTCCTGGCTCCTTGAAGTTCTTTGTTCTGTGGTAGTAGCTGCAACAGAGAATGCTAATACTACAGACTGTGTTGTTTCTAGAAAATAGTTTAGCAAAATAAGGTGTATGTTTAATATTTAATCTAGTATTAGTAAGTTAGCGTCGTGGGCTTTGTGTGTGTTCTTTCTCCTCTCACCGTGTTGTAGTATGCTGGAAGGCCCAACGGAGGTCAGCTGATACTGTCGGAACGGAGATTAACACTGGGTTTGTTTTCCTTTACTGCTGTTAGGTTGGTCGTCTAGAAAATGCAATTGGCTGGTATCACAGTCACCCTGGCTATGGCTGCTGGCTCTCTGGGATTGACGTCAGTACCCAGATGCTTAATCAGCAATTTCAAGAACCCTTTGTAGCAGTGGTTGTAAGTACTGGCTGGTGCTTGATAAAACTGCATAGCAAATTATGTTGGGGGGGGGGATAATTTTTACATTTCTGTTGTTAACATTCTAGTAGTGTATTTTGCATGATGAAAGTGTTAGATCCAAATTTTAAATCGGTATCTCTCCTTTTGCTTTGCTGGCCACATACTGGTGAAACCAGTAGTATTGCTTACCGAGGCCATTTTCACTGCATTGTTCCAGGTACGATAGCTCTGTACAAATCCATTACTCTTAACTTAAAGTTCTACTTGGTACTTTTGCGGAAAAATGTATAGAGCAATCCATATTCAGCCTCCTGCAATAGAACAAAAATCTGTTTCTTTTGTTCTCTTAGTTGCTTCTTGTGTTGAAATAGAGCAAAGCGTGTTCACAGAGTTCTGTTACTTTGCATCTAAAATGCCTTTTAAATTAAATCAATGGCATAGTACAAGGTAGAAGACACTAGGAAATCTATTTTTGAAAAAGAAATCTGAAGAAACTCTTTGGGCCCTTCCGGGTCTTCCAGGCTTCAGATCGCATTTGAAATCAAAAGTAAACCTTATTTTAGATACTACTTGTATATCCATTGCTACTGAAGAAAATAAGGGAAAAAAGACTGAAATTAGTCAGAAAGAAGAAATATAACTCTGATGGAAGAATTACGTTAGAAAAGGATAAATGACCCTTAAGAAGTATTTCCACCATGTGAGTTCTCTTATGTTATGACATAATTTCACAGATTCAGAACACTTTCCTTGGGTCTGCTTTTTTCTTTTTTTTTTTTTCCCTCCTTCTTTTTTTAATTACTTTTAAAATTAAACAGGGCATTAGTAAATACGTTAGCAAGGAGATTCCTTCATTCACTTCCTGCATTTTCCACCAAAATACAACAGATCACATAATACTCTTTCTTACCTCTAGTGGTTGTAAAATTAAAATGCAGATTTTTTTCATTATGGTTTATTGATTGCTCTTAAGTGCAATTTCTTTAGAGTATTTGGGATATAAAGAAAATGATTTTGAAAAAATGGTTCATAGAACGCTATTGATATTCCCGTCTTTTTAGAGAGTCTCATACCAACAGATGCCAAGTGAAAAAGTACTGTTTATGACAAAACAAATACAATTTGCGCTAATTACGTTTCTGAAATACAATTACTGTAAAGTTAATTTATGCCTGTAATAATTTATAAAATGCATTTAACAAGCATTACCTGTATTTCTACAGATTGATCCAACAAGAACAATATCTGCAGGAAAAGTAAATCTTGGAGCATTTAGGACATATCCTAAGGTAAATAGTTAAAATTATCTAGTGTGTGATCACTAAACTGTCTTTAAATTAATAGATTGGTTCTAAAGATTACTGCAGTTTGATCATCTGACAGTTCGATCTGCTGTGCTGTACTGTATGTCATTGTTCATTCTAAAAGAAGGACATGCTGATATACTGGTTATTGCGTGTCTTCGGATATTGATTGCGTTTACAAAGGTTGACTTCTAGTTTGTTTTTCATAGATTTTTGGCAGTGTTAAATCAAATAGACCGTCTAGATAGTGGAGCTGTCCTAAAATTATACAGCTCAATATAGCCATTTTTAATGGATATAGTTGTAGGTAGCATTCATCAAAATAGATTTATGTTAATTCTTCTCTATAATTTTTTAGACCTAAAACCAAATGTTAATAGCGTGTTTTATATGTTGTAATCTGCTTTTCATTTTGGAAAAGCAAGATTCAAAACTGTCTACTTAACTCTTCCAAATAAATATTACAAATCTTCGCAAAATAATGTACAAAAAAATGACTTAATTAAGCAACATGGAAAGGTTAGGCTAAAAACTAGGAAATCACATAAATATTGGAGATCTAGATCGCCAAATGCAGTCTTTCGTTTATACTTATGGCAGAGAGATAACTGTGCTATTTAATTTCAATCTAATAAAGTTCAGGTATATCCTTCAAATTTCCAGTTATTACTAACTCATCAAAAACTTCAGGCTGACAGCCAGCAAAACTGTAATTAACAAAAATGTTTGTGAGAGGTTCCCAGTTGTATTGAAGCATTATTTTTGTGTTGACAAATATACAAGAGATCTTCTTAGAACAGTTTGTGATTCAGGAGAATTTTCACTTCTGTAGGCAAAACCTCCTCATAAATACTTTCAGAATTTTGAGCAGGGAGAAGAATCCTACACCTGAAAACCAAATTGTACGTAGAAAATGCACATTGGAAGCATATTTTTAGGGAGTCCTCACAGTGGTCTGCAGGCAGTTCTTGCCTAGTCAGTAGCTGTGAGTGGCACCATCTTGGCTACACAAGTAACTGAAGTTTTATGTATCACTAAGGGATATCCAAGGCACGGATGTTTCTTCCCTCTTTTCATGCCTCCTATCTTACCTCAAAAGAGGATTGAAATCACTTCCAAGAATAGGTGGAGAAGTATTATCTTAGAAGAAGCTCGCTTTCTTTGATCTAAGAAATGATCTAATCATAGCTTGCCATCTTACTTGTTTGAAAAATCTCAACTATGACCACTAGTTTGCTTCCAACATGCTTTTTGATAGACCTGCAAATGTAATGACTGCTAGTAAAGCCAAATGTAAATCTTAGATCCAAGAAAATTCCAAATTTCAGGCTACTGGCAGAAATTTCACTTTCCCTAGGAAAAATAAACTAGAATTGCATAAACTAGAATTTTTGTGAAGTGCTTTCAAAGAGTGTAGGCGTTTTAAAAAGTCCCGAAATTACTGTGTCACCTTTGCCCTTTGTTGAATTTTTAGGGCTATAAACCTCCAGATGAAGGTCCCTCTGAATACCAGACTATTCCGCTTAATAAAATAGAAGACTTTGGTGTACATTGTAAACAGTAAGTAACATATAAACTACTAACTCTAGCACAAGTTCTCAATTTTTGTGTTTGGGTTAGTGATTCAGTATGGAAAAGTACATTTCTTGGAGTGTTTCAAATCTTGAAGTTCTTTGTTGGTTTTGTGAAAAAGTGTTACTGTCATTTGTCAGGAGATATTTTAAGGGAGAACTGTTACAAAGATGAAGACAAATCTGGTTAAAAGCTTTAGCAGTTGATTCCTGAACACCTGCGTCACTGGGCGTGTTAAGATTGTTTGTGCCTTTGGTAGGCTTGGAAAGTGGAGCTGCTTCAAGGATAACATCATCAACAGGAAAAATTACTGCTTTTTCTCTCCTGCTAGGTTACTTTCCATGAAGGTAGTTTAGTTTTAACCATTCTTTCATTAACTGTTCTATCCCCAGCCACATGTTCCCCACTTCATACCTACATTTATTTATTTGGCGAGGCATTTGTTTTGCCGGGCCAGTCCCCTGATCTGGTCCAGCTTGTGGGAGCACACACGTTCTTGCTGGTTAAGCTAAGGTGGGATGGAAAGTAGAGACAAATGTTGGAGACACAGTATTTGCAAAGAACAGCTAAGGAAAGATGGGACTGCTTCTTTCAATAACGGCTTGGTTTCAATTCTACCTTCAGATGTTTGACAAGCACTACAGCTTAAGCAGCTGTGTACAGAGAACTTGAAGGTCTCATTGACACCAGTGTGTACTGTAGGCTGTTGTGTATTTTTTTCACATTTTCGGTGAATGGATATCTGTTCTTCAGTGCATTTATAGTTGCATGCAAAGTCTGACCCTGAAGAGATGAAGACATTAAAACAATTGGAATTGGTCTTCCTATCCAATTTGAGGAAAAATCCCAAACAGTAGAACTATAATGTTTCTGTCATTTCAGAGTAGTCCTTACAAGTCTGGCATTGGCCATAAACCCATGCTTTTAAGCATGAAAGTAGGATATGTTTTATCCTTTCTTTTTTAGAGGTGATCAATTTGGGAGAGTTCATTTTGTGGTTTTCTTGAAGTTGGAAGGGCTTAATAGTTATCGTTATAATCTCCGTCTCAGGAAGTTGGCTTCTTGTACAAATTGTTTCTTTCCATCCAAACCAAGAAAATATTTTCCAGTCTTTCCTAGAAGTAAACAGCAGTTAGGCAAGGAGAGGGAATTAAAACTGGAAATTTGTCATGTTACTGAATCACTGATAATACAAAAGACTGGAGTGGTGGTGTCCTCTCAGTAGTATGGGTAGTCTGACTAAGAATTAAAAGTTTAGAGAACTTGAATAATGATCATAGAATCATAGAATCATTTAGGTTGGAAAAGACCTTTAAAATCATTGAGTCCAACTGTTAACGTAGCACTGCCAAGTCCACCACTAAACCAAGTCCCTACGCGCCACATCTATACGTCTTTTAAATACCTCCAGGGATGGTGACTCCACCACTTCCCTGGGCAGCCTGTTCCAATGCTTGACAACCCTTTCGGTGAAGAAATTTTTCCTAATGTCCAATCTAAACCTCCCCTGGCACAACTTGAGGCCATTTCCTCTTGTCCTATCGCTTGTTACATGGGAGAAGAGACCGACCTCCACCTCGCTACAGCCTCCTTTCAGGTAGTGGTAGAGCGCAATAAGGTCTCCCCTGAGCCTTCTTTTCTCCAGGCTAAACAACCCCAGTTCCCTCAGCCAATCCTCATAAGACTTGTTCTCTAGACCCTTAATGATCCTGTCTGTTTGGAATGCCAGTGACTACTAGTTGCTTCATAGTAGCAGTATGGATAATCTTAGTCAAACTTCTCTCCTTTAATTGGTGTTCAATTCCCAATGTGAAACTGCTTCCATTTAATCTTTTTAAGTAAGTTTATTACACTATTCCTCAAATAACTTGGATTTCTAATTTTGCATCTGCCACACATCTCTGAAGAACTGACTTAGTACCTCATTTTTCTTAGCATATATGAGATAAGGGTATTTGTTCTATCACAGGAATATTAAAGTGTGGTGTGTTGGTAGATTTTAAAGCATTGTTATCTCAGATGGAATTTCTTACAGAAATGACAAGCAAAATAACTTTCCAGAGAAATCAAGAGATGATAGGATTATTGATAACCTGTTCAAGAATTTCCTGATCAAAATAAAGTTTAATATAGCTCTTTAATGTTGCTGTAATTCATCTACACTAATGACTTTGCATAGCTCAGCTTTGTATCTGCTTTATCACCTCTTGTGAATTCTGTAGCACCACTAAAGCCTGGCTTTCAAAATAGGTGTGGTAGAATATAAGATTGTTTGCCTGTTCATAATATTTACTAGCATCGCACATTCCTAATTGAATTAGAATCATAGAATAGTTTGGGTTGGAAGGCACCTTTAAAGGTCATATAGTCCAACCCCTCTGCAGTGAGCAGGGACATCTTCAACTAGATCAGGTTGCTCAGAGCCCCGTCCAACCTGACCTTGAATGTTTCCAGGGATGGGGCATCCACCACCTCTCTGGGCAACCTGTTCCAGTGTTTCACCACCCTCACCATAAAAAATTTCTTCCTTATATCTAGTCTAAATCTACCCTCTTTTAGTTTAAAACAATTCCCCCTTGTCCTGTCGCAACAGGCCCTGCTAAAAGGGGATATATGCAAAACTGCAGTCATCTGTAAGTAACAATTATTACAGTATTGAAGATCCCAAGCATGGAACAGGGCATCATTGCATTGCACAAGAAGTTGTTAAGAGAATAATTTAAAAAACCTTGCAATCTCATTAAATAGAACACAGCAGTATGTGTGGGGATTAGTATACCTGTATTAAAGCTACATATTAAATGCTTACGGAAAAATTTTTAGAGTTAGAATTGGAATTGGGAGTAACTTTTTTATTGTTCAGTGCTTTGAATTTTTGAAGATATTTCCCATTGGTAGGGATTTTTTGAGATGCATGTACTTTGGGTATCACAGCCAAACAAGACATATTTAGATGGAAGCTTATTTTGTTTGCATGTTTGTTTTTAAAGGTATTATGCTTTAGAAGTCTCGTACTTTAAATCATCTTTGGATCGTAAATTGCTTGAGCTTTTGTGGAACAAATACTGGGTGAACACTCTCAGTTCTTCTAGTTTGCTTACTGTAAGTACCATAGTATGCTATCATGTACATGTGTTAATTCATTAGTGCTGAAGGCCAGACCCTCTACTGTAAAATGCTTAATGGGACACTGATAGATATAGAACCCACATTAAGAATCTATTTGCCAGATTAAACAGGAAAGGAAGGTTTTCCTAATCATAAATACTGAAATGTTCCTTATATCTGCTCTTTAAAAGTAGAAGGTGGGAATAACATGTTTAATTTTACTGAGTTCTCTATTCACTTAGATTTTGTCTTAAACACCTTTTAACCTTATAGCGCTTTACAGCACTGTAATGAATAGTATGCCTTAAAATAATGGTATCGAATAAGTAAACACTTAAAAAACCAACAAACCAAACAAAAAAACCCAACAAAAAAGACAATGGAACTGTTAGAACATGGTTGCAACAGAAGTACTGCAGGTAGACCTTCAATGTAACAGCTCAGCATCAAAACCTTCCTTTTGCAAAAGCCAATTTTATGCCTTTTCTCTTGGTCAAACCCAACTGATTTTACTTACTCTTTCATAACTTAGGACATGGGCTGAAAGTAATAGAGTGCCCATTTCAGGCTTTAGGTATTGAGAATTTGTCAGATGTTCAGCTTCTGTTCTCTCAACCACCACTCGTGTGCCACTCATGTTCTGTATCACTTCAATTGCAGATGTAGGTTAAAATGTGCAGTACTACAGTCTTAAAGGCTCTTTTCAGATTTTGTTTATTTTGTGTATAAATGCTTGAATTTATAGCTTAAAATTCAATATGTTTGTTGCCTTCTTTCTCCTAAGAATGCTGACTACACCACTGGCCAAGTCTTTGATTTGTCTGAAAAATTAGAACAGTCAGAAGCTCAGCTTGGAAGGGGCAGTTTCATGCTGGGTTTAGAGACTCATGATAAGAAATCAGAAGACAAACTTGGAAAAGCAACAAGAGACAGGTAAGATAATGCATTCTTGTGTTCTTCCCTGTAAAAAGTGTTATTTTGTTTTAAACTTTTATCATGCCTTTAATTGTAACCTACCAATTAAATTGTAACCTACCAAGATTATAGATAAGAATGATTAGATTATAGATAGAGATGAGAGATTCCAAATCTGACTAGTTATTTTTGAAAGTTTAAGAAAATCTTGCCTTTATTAAGCCTACAATGGCTTTTCAATCTTTGTTTCTGGAGCAAATTCAACTCTAGTTTACAGTTTATTAAACAAAAAATCCTTGTTAAATTCCATCAGTATACGGCAAACCAAAAAAGATGTTTTCTGTCAAATGCAAAATGGTAGCATTGCTAGAAAATAGCACATTTTATGTGGTTAATCAGGTTTAAACGAACAGTAAATAAAATTATTATATAGAATATGATTTTAAGAACTAGTGCCAAGTTGTTGTGGTTTAACCCGGCAGGCAGCCAAACACCACACAGCCACTCTCTCACTCCGCCCCCCAGTGGGACGGAGAGAGAATTCGAAGGGTAAGAGTGAGAAAACTCATGGGTTGAGATAACGACAGTTTAATCGAACAGAAAAGGAAGGGAAAATAATAATAATAATATTAATGACAGAATATACAAAATGAGTGATGCACAATGCAATTGCTCACCACCTGCTGAGCAATGCCCAAAAACCAGCAATCGCTACTTCCTGGAACACGCCTACCATTCATATACTGAGCATGACGTTACATGGCATGGAATACCCCGCTGGCCAGCTGGGCCAGCTGTCCCGGCTATGCTCCCTCCCAGCCTCTTGTGCACTTGGCAGAGCATGGGAAGCTGAATGTCCTTGTACTAGTAGGGTACTTAGCAACACCTAAAAACATCAGTGTGTTATCAACATTCTTCTCATACTAAATCCAAAACACAGCACTAGGAAGAAATTTAACTCTATCCCAGCTGAAACCAGGACATAAATCCAGTAAGTTTAGTTTACATTTGTGTAATACTTTCACTCACTTAAAAATTAAGAACTCCCTTTTTTCATATTTCTTAATTAATACATCTTCTTTCCACAAGTGAGGAAGGTTTTTTGTTGCGTTGTGTTTTGTTTTGTTTTTAAGTAGTAGATTACAGACATTCTGGCCTTTATTTTTAGCTACCCTGCCTGATAGCAAATACTTGCTATTATCAGTTAATTAACTTATCACTGGGTGTACAGCATCATTTCAAAGAAGTTGTAGTGTTTTCCCTCAGTGTTCTTTGTATGTTAGTTGGTAATCAGCTCTTTTCTTTTTTTGAGCTTTGAAGTACAAAAGTTGCTTCTCACTAATACTCACATCTCTCTCCCAATAGTCTTATGTATGCTTAGACTATCTATATAATGTTATAGTCACCATTTTCCCAAATAAAATATTTAACAAAGGGTAATAGTATCCAGCAAGTCATACAGTATCTTGGGCTGTTCAAAAATGTTGTATTTGGCAAATTCCAGACTTTTAAAACCAAGAAGTACTGCACTGTACATGCTAGTACAATCTCAGGTCCATCTGTGGAGAAGACAGGACTCACCTGCATGCATCTTAGGAGTGTTCTGAGTGAGATATAATTCCATTTAATAAGGAACAATTCTGTAGAATCCTTTGGAACAGACTGCAAAAATGGAATAAAATCTGGGATGTTCTACTTTTCAGATTTGGAGGTTTTCTGGTCCTCTTCCTCATCATTTTATCCTGATAACGTAGGGCAGTTTTCTTATATTCTCTTCCCCCCGCCCCTGCCACGTTAGCAATATGTGCCATAGTACGAACTTTACTAAGGAACTGATTTTTGAGTTACCAGATAGGTGGTGAGTTTAATGATAAGTAAAAAAATCAAGAGACAAAAAGGAGGCCTTGTGTGAAAAGACTGATTTATAAATAAATTTATTTATGTCTTGCTCAGTATGCTGAGCACGGGCTTTGCCTTAATAGAGGAGTCAGCTTGCGTTGGACAAGCCTTTGTTCCGCCATAAGCAGGGGGGGAATACCTGCAAATGTAATATGGTCATTGCTAAATAGAATCAGAGTTGCTGTTGTGCTAGTGTCTTCTGTGCATTTGTTTCCTTGTTATGGAAAGTTAACAGCTCTTACAAGTTTTCTAACAAACATGACTGAGTTGAAGGGGGGTTGACTTTATAGAAGTTAATACCCATTTAGACTATTTTAGTTGTGGAATACATTTGCAAATGGAGTTAAGGCTGTTGCTAACTCAAAACAGCCAGGTTAGGTGATACTTCCCAGTTCCTGTAGTGAAAAAGTTAGAATAGCAATGCTTTGAAGACACGAGAAGGATGGAGTTGCTGACAAGTTTGCTTTGATTTTGGTCCCTGTTTGGTGTCCCATAATACAGACTGCATTTTATTTTTATGTTACTCTCACATGCTTACAGATATTCTAAGAAATAACTCCTCCTCTGATCATCCCACTATATTATTTCTTGCAGGATTTCTAGAGATTTTTCTGTTCTGTTTCTATTTAGTCATCATCAGTAGTTAGTTTATAAATTGTAAGACTGGAAGGGATTGTTGTTGTCATCAGTTTTGCTTTCCTGTGTAACAGAGGCTACTGTAGTTCCCAAAATGGATTGTAACACTTTTACAGATGCGTATTTTTCTTCAACTAATAATCTTTCCTAAGAAAAGAGAAAAGACAGCAGGAGACTTGTGCAGGTATCAGGACAATTGATTCAATGGCACCTAAATTACTTTCAAGAAATAAGGTTGCAAAGTTTGCTAAAGGATTATTGGGTGTACCTGTTTTAGGAAAAACAGTACTGTAAGACATTAGCATAAAGGTGCTTACACTTGGCTATATGATATCTTCTGTTACTGTACATACACATCTCTAAGAGCCATTTTCTAAGAGTACATATGCATTAGCCAAACGGTGCTCCAAGCCAGCTTCCCTTGCCTAGGATTCCTTTATCTATCTAGTAGTAATTTGTCCCTATTCTCCATGCCTTCAGGGCCGATTCATCTTTTGCATTTGTATATTCTGTTCTGAGACATTTTTATTTGTTAATTTGACACTACATCCCCCTAAGCCAGGCACACTGGATGAAACTTGGATCAATAGGAATCTTCTCAGCTGTTTGGGGGTTTTGCACGTTACATATTTTGACTAATAACTGATTAGCTCTGTAAACTCTTCCTTTATTCTCAGAGGAGCTATGGTTACTGTGCACTACTGGTGTGGGGTTGGGCAGAGGAGATACGGCAGAGAACAGTGAGAGCCTTCAGGTATTGATAACAGCTGGTATCTCCATTCCCCCAGAGATTTTTTTTTTTTTTGGTTCAGATGACTCACTTGCTATTCTGAATGTAAGATGTCCTAAAGTGCCAGACAAAGAAGTTTTCTGGAATTGGTCTTTGTGTGTATAGTGCTCGTCAGTTTGCTTTTTAAGTAACAAAAAGCTATTGGCAACAATGGCTAAATTGCTGTGTGTGACTTTTCCTTTCTGGACAGTTGTTAAGATTCATGGGGTTATGGGCACCCTGAACTTCCAAAACAGCTGAATATCTTCAAATAAAATGACAGTTCAGTTCAGTGTTTGGCCAACGTTGAATTTATGCTTGTTTTTCAGCTGCAAGACCACCATAGAAGCTATACATGGATTGATGTCTCAGGTTATTAAGGATAAACTTTTTAATCAAATTAATATCGCTTGAAGTGCATCACCAGCTGATATGTATCTCCAAAGCAGAAAAAGTCATGGTTTCTTTTGCTTGGACTTGTTCAATTTGGGAAATGAAGCTGGAGTGGAAAATTATTCATTTAATTTGTAGTGCTTTAATATTTCCCACCTGTCTGACCAGTTTTAAAGAACAAAATGTTCTGAAATGTAGTGCAACTTTTTGTTCTTTATCATAAAACACAACCGGTTTGGAGAATTGTTCCAAAAGAAAAATAAATGTGACACTGGATTTTGCTCTTAGGTATTTATCTCTATTATCCAACTGCAATAAAACAATTTTGAAAATGAGTGAGTGTTTTGGGGCTTGAATTTTTTTGGCAAACATGCATCTCCTCTTACTCTTTTTCTTATTGTTCTGTAGAAAAGTTCTGTCCACTCAGTTTAGATAGGTAACCGATGCAGCGTAAGAAGTTTGTTTCTCAGATTTTCATTTCTGTGTTTAATTTTAAGAATTGAAATTCCATTTGCTTATCTTTTAACAAGTTACTAAATCTAATGGAGTCTTTCCTGATTTAGTTTTAGTGATCCAGCCAGAAATGGTTTCTTCTCACAGTGATGAAACATTCATGCATGATATAACAGTATTTTGCTTGTAGCTTCACACTTACGATGGACATTTTATATTTCTAAGGAGTCAAGTAATGACCAGTTCCACAGTGAAACTAGTAATATGGTTATATACCATTATTTTTCTCCTGCTCACCTTCTATTGCTTGTCATAGTGACTTGTTGCATGCAAAGGAATAAAATGAAAAATTTTTATCTCTGAAATACGCATTAGGCTAATTTAGGGCCACAGATACTAAAACGCATTAATCATAATTGCTGGCTTACAACATGGTGCTGCTGCAGGGCTGAAATAAGTTTGTTTTGGAGGCTTTCATACTGCATTTCAATAATTCAAGATGTTTGGATTTCTTCTAAGTTTTTATACTTAATCCTGAGTTTCCTGGGGGTTTTGGAATGTTTACTTTTGGGATAATTTATAACATGCTTTATACAATATGCCATTACGCTTCATACCTTAAGTAACGGATATTCCTTTTCAACCTTAACTCTGCCTTGATGTGGGTTTTGTTTTTGTTTTGGTCTGGAAATTTTAATAGCTATTACTCATTTGGGGCTTTTCATCCAAATGGATTTGAAGCTAAGATGCAAGTTATACAATGGAAACTTACCATTCAGCAGGGAAATGCAGATATCCTGAAGCAGAAATTCATCAAGAGTTTTAAGCATCCAACAGTATAGGAAAAATATATTTACTCAGAGCTGGTAAAGTTGAGATAATTATCAGATGTGCAGTTTGGCAGGAGAACAATTTTACGCTTCTTCCAGCATGGCAGCAGTGGTGGGAAGGCAGGAGAAGAAAGCTGTGGTATTTTAATATTCAAAGCTATTAATTTTCTTGGAAATGGCAGCGATAGACTTCTCTACAAGCAAGCACAGTACGTAAGCCCACAGCAGTACCTTTTAAGTTCAAGGAAGACACAGCAAGTGTACCTGGCCTGTAACTTTTTCTACTCATTTTCTTCCACAGGTGTTTGTGAGACTTTAAATTTTAGCACACAGCCCTTGTCCCATTCAACATGTGTTTACGCATAGTACACTGCTTTTGTGAGAAAATATCTATTAGGAAATATAACCTATGTTGCCACTTTATAGAATTCTCTTTGCACAACATGATCCAAAAGTTTTGGACATCTTGTATCTACCTGAAATATAAAATAATAGTTTAATCTTATATTAGTCTATTTAGCGTATTTAAACTGTCGTCATTTGTGATAGCAATGAGCTGAAATTTCATGCATGTAGGCTCAGGCTGAATTTTTTTAGTCACAGTTGGCTTTAAAATACCAAGTTGTTTTATAAACTATAGGAATATGAGTGCTGATGCTTGAATGCTGATGTAACAGTTGTCCATTGATTTACATGCGTTGTTACTTGCTGAGCATATAGTGTTATAACTCAATTTAAAATCATACATGTGGGGTGGCTATACCTGTGGCCTCTATAGGATCCTTTCTGCAGTGTTCAGGAACCAAAATAACAATGCCCTTGTCTTTGATTAACCATTTTTAATGCTAGCATTATTCCAAATTCTGCCTTAACTGAGATCAGAATTCCATACATTGAAGATGATTACCACAAAGGAGTCATCCAATATGTACACACACACACACATACACACACACGTGTATCCTAAATGATGGAGAATCATTAAGGGACAGAAGGTACGCCTTAATTCTACCAAATAGTTTTGAGACTTTAAAAATATTAGGAATAAAGGTATTCTTGAGAACAATACACGCTGTATATCAACAAATACGTTAATTTGTTCTTCCCCGTTTACACCCACTTTTCCTTAGAAATTAGTTTATGCAAATGAGTGCCACATATCCGGTAATTTTTTCACAGCTAAAGTAATTCAGTAACATACTAAAGCACATGCAAATAGGTTCTCATTATTTAGATTTTTGAGACAAGCATGCATACAAAAATTCTGAGTGCCTTTGACATTCCAATAAATAAAACTCTAATTCAATGACCACAATTAATTTCTTCATCTAACAGTATTTGCCAACAGATACTAAAATTATGGAATGCTGAAAATGCTGAATTGTGTTTGAACTTCTTCCCTCTCCTGTTCTTCTGTTTTTCTTTTTTTCGAGTTGTCCTGTATGCTCACCTTTCTCATGTATCCAAATTGAATTTTTAAACAATTTATACATTCTAATCTCAACAAAATCCAAAGAAATATATGCATATTTGTAATAATCAAATACCAAGGACTAAGCTGTAATTCCTGATTGAGTACCAGTTTGCCTTTATTGTGCACAGGCTTTAAGAAGAGCCTTTCAGATTTATTCTGTGATTACTGAGACAGTCAAAGACACTTCATTGTCCTATCAGACCTCCCTCTCCTTCGAAGTTCCTTTCAAATGTTTGGTAAGGCCTGGAATGGCAGCTCCTATAAGTGAATTTTTTTGCCTGAAGATTGAATGGTTGTGCTTCTGCTGCCACATGGAACCTGAAAAAAGACATAATTTTTCTTGCCTTTTTCTTTTTTAAATTTACTGAATGGAGTAATGCAGCTGTGAGAGACTGGCTTCTATCTCTGTTCACCTGTTGTCCTATCTTCCAGTCTACCTAAAAGGCAAATAGGCAAGAGAAGGTAAGGGGTTATGGGAAACGCCCTGCTGGTTGGCCGCCTCTAACAGCAGCATCGGAGTGCTGCTGGGGAAGAGCACGTGAACCTGGCCACTTTTTTACCTGTTTTGAATGGATCTAGTAGCTTTATAAGAGTATTTCTAGTTCTAATAGCGTGGCACATGCCGATTAACAGTTTTGTTTGCCTTACCCTCCACCTTTATGATTTATTAGCTTTTATCATATCATCACCTCAGCCTTCTCTCCAAACTAAGAAGTTTCCGCTTTTTCATGCTGCTGTTATAAAGCTGCCACTTTACCCACTCGATCATTTTAGTTGCCCAGCACCCAGAACTGCCCTGTACTCAAGGTTCGGGTGCACCAAAGTTTTATAGAGGCAAAATAGTTCTCCCGTGTTCTCAGTACCCCTCCTGGTGACACCCAGTGTTTGGTTGGCTTATTTGATTGCTGCTGCACATCAAGCTGATGATTTCAAGATCTTAAAAACTGCTTAAGTTTGAATTGGTAGGTACAACCCTGGAAAGCATTGTGCAGGCATGGTTCAGATTTTCCCAAGATGCATTTATCTACATCAGAGCTCCTCTACCCACTCAGTTTTGTGAGATCCTTTTGGAGTTCCTCACCATCAGTGCGGTATTTGCTACCCAGAAGAGCCAAGTTACCAGCTGAAAACTTCGAGATACTTAGTTATCTTTAACTCTTCGGGGTTTCATCTGATTGACATGCTTATTTCAGAGAGTCGACCTCAATGATACTGATTATATTTTACAATGTATTGCCATACTTTTGCACAGTAAAGTCAAATGCAAAATATTGTGCTGTCCTTAACAAAATCCAAGCTTGGGTTGTCTTTATAATTCGGTACAATGTCTAGCCATTGTTTCGTATTCTGAATATCCAGAATACTGCACAGAGAACAGTAACTCAACTATAGGACAAACCTTTGAAAATAAACACATTGGAGGACAAACATTGAATTGCAGTGACTGTAGGGAAGAATGTTTTGCTCTCTAAAGGCTGTACACTGGAGAAGGAGATGGTTTCAAGCCTAGCGCATGAATGATGAGGTGCGGATGTAGGACTCATGCATGCACAATTACTCATTTATCTTGCATATGCCTGCACTGTATCTGACTGCCATATATATTCATATATATATATAAAAAAACCCGAAAATAACCACTTCAGAAACTTGCCAAGTTTGTATTCCTGGATTATTTTAAAAGTAACTAATAGCAATAGAAACATTGCAAATTTAGATGTATATGGTATATCTGAGGTATCTGGTCATATAAAGCAGGAATACTTCCATTTCTCAGATTTTATATGTAGCCAAGATACTTAAGGTACTGAAATTTTGTTTTGAAGTCCCGCATAACCAATTAGATTACCTACTCAGTAGATACATTGTTAACTAACCTGTAAAATGTAACATCTTCACTCTGGTTGCATTTGCTTTAGCGATGTTTGTGGATAGTGTTTAACAAAACTGTAAAAAGCTAAATTAGGTGATCAGGCTATTAGGGCCGATTCTTTTCTAAATAATTCTGCATCCAGCAGCCCCCTAAGCACACCCCACTAAGCACCCAGATATTCAAAAACTCAGCACTTATTCAGAGGGAAAATGGGAGTTACTAGATGTTAAGTTTCTCTAGGTCTCTGACATTAGATGTCTACTGGAGACTGAGCCTTTCTGAAGGACTAGTCCTAACTGGGAGTTTTAAGCAATAATCTCAATACACTGAAGAAAGCCAAATTTTAGAAAATGTTTTGGTCCCAAAAATGCCCTCTGCCACCGTTAGCTACCAGTATCTGGATTTTGTTACAATCTTTACCCTTACAAGAGTATGAACAACCTCACTGAAGTCAAGAAATATTTTTGCTTTCGAAAAAGCTAATAAAAAGGCTAACCTTAATCTTTTGCTTTTAAGCAGCGTCACAAGTTCTTTAGTCGCCCCTTACCTCACATTCATGCCAGGCCAGAAGAAATATTCCTTGAGCTTTTGATAAATTATCTTTGATGCTAGTACTGGAATAACAGGCAGCCGTGAGCTGGCTACAACAGCTCTGTTCACCGTCCATCTTTGATATTCCCTGGAAAACTCCCCTTACCCCA